TATTTATATTATTTATATCCTGGAGTTCTCCAAGTTTGGAATTCAAAGTGACACCATAAATTAGAAAAACACATAGTTAGAAGAGTGATCAAAATATGAAAGCATGATCAAAATAAGAAAGCAACAAGAAAATATATATATGTGCATTTGAAGAAGAAACCTAGTGTCCACATAGACAGAGGGACATTTAGCAACCACCCGTGTAATATTGCAAGTAATTATTTATCTTTTGTTTTCTCATTATTTGACATGACTTTTCTTTCCTTTACAGAATTCCTGTCCCCTAAAAGAAACATCCACTTGCAACGTGATGCCCAAGTATGGAAGAGCCTGGCAGGCTGTGTTTTTGCTTTCGAAGAAGAAGAATTTGGTTTCTCATATGGTGACTCAGATAATCCTGATTCTTGCATTTTTCTGCAAAGGTAGGCACAACGTTCAAACGACAAGAGAAATATGGAACTATGGAATTCTCCACCTTATTAAAAGAGTATAAAATCTGGAATTGATTATTCCAAGCTGTTGTTCATTCTAAGTGTGTTAGATTATAGCTCCCACAATCCCCAGCAACATGAACAGTGGGAGATGTAGTGCAACCATGGTAAGAGAAGCTGTTCCAGAGAAAGCTCTAAAATGGTATCTGTTTCTTTTAGAGTTCAGATGCAACGGAAACTTAGGTAGAACATGAAAAAGTTACTTTTTAGACTATTACTCCCAGAATACCCCTGCCAGCAAGAGGTTATATTTAGAAAAGAAAGAAAAGAGGAACTTTTGAAAGTTCTGTGTTTGGTTATTTCAAATGTACTCACCTTTATTAATTTTAACTAATCTTTGTTTTATGTATACTAGTTCTGTATATAGATTTTGTTATTTGATTTTAACCATTTAGAGGTCATGGATGCTTGCTCCATCCATGTTCAACATCTACACAAATGACCAGCCACTGCCAGAAGGGACAGAGAGTTTCATCTATGCTGATGATCGTGCCATTACTGCTCAAGCAGGGAGCTTTGAGATGGTAGAACAGAAGCTCTCCAAAGCTCTAGGTGCTCTTACTGCCTATTACAGGGAAAACCAGCTGATCCCCAACCCATCTAAAACACAGACATGTGCCTTTCATCTCAAGAACAGAGAAGCATCCCGAGCTTCTGAAGATCACCTGGGAAGGAATCCCACTGGAGCATTGCAGCGCACCCAAATACCTGGGAGTCACTCTGGACCGTGCTCTGACCTACAAGAAGCACTGCCTGAACATCAAGCAAAAAGTGGGTGCTAGAAACAATATCATACGAAAGCTGACTGGCACAACCTGGGGATCACAACCAGATACAGTGAAGACATCTGCCCTTGCGCTATGCTACTCTGCTGCTGAGTATGCATGCCCAGTGTGGAACACATCTCACCACGCTAAAACAGTGGATGCGGCTCTTAATGAGACATGCCGCATTATCACGGGGTGTCTGCGCCCTACACCACTGGAGAAATTACACTGCTTAGCTGGTATTGCACCACCTGACATCCGCCGGGAAGTAGCAGCCAATAGTGAAAGGACCAAGGCAGTGACATCTCCAGCTCATCCCCTGTTTGGGTATCAGCCAGCACGTCAACGACTTAAATCAAGACATAGTTTTCTAAGATCTACAGAGACACTCGCTGGAAAACCCCAGCAAGCGAGAGTCCAAAAGTGGCAGGCTCAAACCCAGAACCTCAACCAATGGCTGATACCAAATGAGAGACTCCCCCTGGGCACACAGAAGACTGGGCGACTTGGAAGGCGCTGAACAGACTGCGCTCTGGCACCACGAGATGCAGAGCCAACCTTCAGAAATGGGGCTACAAAGTGGAATCCTCGCCATGCGAGTGTGGAGAGGAGCAAACCACTGACCACCTGCTGCAATGCAACCTGAGCCCTGCCACATGCACAATGGAGGACCTTCTTGCAGCAACACCAGAGGCACTCCAAGTGGCCAGATACTGGTCAAAGGACATTTAACCAACTACAAACTCACAAGTTTTGTATTTTGTCTGCTTGTTTGCTTTGTTCTGTTAGAAATGTAATATAATTGACTGGTTGCCCTGACACGACAAATAAATAAATAAATGCAATAAATGTTCAAACTGCTACTGCTGCTACTATTACTAAAAATACAAGTGGCATTCTTTCTGGAGATGATGCACTTTATAATCCAACATACCTGACTGGAAGGTGTTGGATGAAAAGGCTATTCTAGACGTGCTGTCAGAATGAGACCTTTAGAAAAGAGAGTAATAGAGATGTGGGTTCCATCTACATAGCCATATAATGTAGTTTGAAATTATATTATATACTTAGTGTGGATTCCTATAATGCAGTTCAACTTGATTGGCAACATAATGCAATGAAGCAGCACCCATAGACAACAAATAACAACAACAACAACAACAACAACAACAACATACAGTGCCTAAAGACCTCGGCACACTGAGTGCAGTGCCAAAAGACCTTGGCCTGTACTTAAATAATAATAATAATAATAATCATCATCATCATCATCATCATCATCATCATCATCAAAGTATGGATCGTCAATGTCGCAATCCCAGGTGACAGCAGAATTGAAGAGAAACAACAGGAAAAGCTGGCATGATATGAGGATTTAAAGATCGAACTGCAAAGACTCTGGCACAAGCCAGTCAAGGTGGTCCCAGCGGTGATTGGCGCACTGGGTGTAGTGCCCAAAGACCTTGGCCTGCACTTGGCCTGCTGACAAAATTACCATCTGCCAGCTGCAGAAGGCCACCTTACTGGGATATGCACGCATTATTCGCCGATACATCACACAGTCCTAGACACTTGGGAAGTGTCCGACATGTGATCCAATACAACAGCCAGCAGAGTGATCTTGTCTGCTGTGGACTCATCTTGTTGTATTTCAAATAATAATAATAATAATAATAATAATAATAATAATAATAATTTATTTATATTCCGCTATATCTCGCTGAGGGGTCTCAGAGTGGATTACAGTATATACATTATAAGCCAGTAGTACTCAACCTTCCTAATGTCACAACCCCTTAATACAGTTCCTCATGTTGTGGTGACACGCAACAATACAATTATCTTGTTGCTACTGTAGGGGACCCCCTGCTTGGGGTCCTTGCTGAGTCCGTCACAGAGGGCAGCAAAATGAAGAGAGTCTAGTCTCCAGAGGTAAAGCAGAAATCTCTTTATTTCAAGTGTGGCCACACAGGGAGAAACAACCAAGACAAACCAGTGTCTTCAAAAAAGGCTGTCTCTGATATTTGGATATTTCAGTCACCTTATATACATGTCTTTTCGCTGTGTCATGGGCACACACCTCTCTTATCGGATCATCCATTCAAAAACATGTTTTTCTCATATTTTGGTACTTCAGTGTCTCTAACTGCTAACCTTCTACAAACTACGTAAACACACACATTATTGTTACAGATAAGCATTTTGGGTGTTAACCCACCCTGAGTACTCCCTAGGCGAACTTGACAATACAGTATCTTGTGTCTTCCAGATTCATTATCTCCTCTTAGCTTTTGGTCTTCTGCAGGCCAGAGGAGAGGGACAAGCCTCTCTTTAGGTTTGCATTTCAGCACTTAAACACTTCTAAGTTCTGTTAACCCTTTCACTCCTCCCTTTTCTTTTTGCGAAAGCTGATCATACAGAAGCTGAAGCAAGATCAATATCTAGTTATAACATTTTTACGATACCCTGGCATTTGGGAACCGCACTTGTGGTGAACTTATAACACATCTTCATGATGATGGGAAAACACATCACAATTATAAAAAATACAATAATCAACAGGACAATACCCAGGAACAATCCCTTTAGCCATCCGAAATCTGGTAACCCTGAGGTTAGCCAATTCCACCAACTTTCACCTGTTGGGGAGTAGATAGATTGTACCATAGCAACAATCTTCTCACAGGTGGGGTAATGTCCTAAATGTGTACTAACGGCAACTGTAGTATTTAGAGTCACACAAGTTTCTTCTTGGCACAGGTATGGCATCAGGATGCTACAGCCCAAGTCACAGAATCATATCAGAATCACATCAAGGAGAGCTCTCGTGCACACACATTCATTCATTCATACTCTCGTGCACACACAGGCCTCCTCCGGCGAAGATGATCAGTCTTTTCCGAGGAAGCGTGGACGCTCCATTGCTGCAGTTCAGGAAGCGTGGAGATTGTCAGGGGTCCCCTGCATTTATAGGCCAAAATCCATTTTTCTTCATTTCAACAGTCAGGTTGCTCTGTCCTCTTACTAAAGGACAATATGTCTTTGTTCTCTCCAAAGTTCAAGACATTCGCATTCCAGGCCTCATGACTTATGGGGTACCTCCTGCACGTATCCTGCACTCCTTACATGCTCGGCCGCACACCTCATTGTCCATTGTTGTTCAGTTATGCCTTACTGTCTCCTCGCTTCGACTGCCAAGTTTGTCCCATTATCATGCCTTGCGAGAACTCCATGTTGGTTTTTCTTCAGGCCTGTTTCTTCTCTTTTACATGCATTCAAACATTCATTCCTCACATATTCCTCCCCTTGATACATAAATGCTAATTTATTGTATCACATACATGATCCATACATGATAAGCAATTCAGTGTTGGTTATACTTATAACCAAACTTGATTAAGTGTATATATGTTTAGGTTAATATTGAACTTGTATGATTAATCAAACATCATAGGTCATAATTGTGTTTCTAAATACGTTAACTTGTTTTCAAATATAGATAATCGATTTGTCAATCCTGTCATTCGTCTAAGAGGCCATAAGATCCAAATTATTAGCAGCAATATAAGTATCCCTATCTATACTATTGGATGTATCCTATGAAGATATCATACCAGTGGTGTTCTGTTTGTGTTTCCCCATCAGACCAATATATATCTTTAGGTGATACAGCACATAGGCATTACATTCCATTGTCATATACCATGGTTTTGGGTTTTAGCTTTTGTAACCTGCAGATTGCATCTGCCATTTCCAATGCACATGGTTCAACTTGTTTTACTGTTAAAGGACATACATATCCCATTTCTTGCATCTATCAATATCAATTGTTTCATTCAAATTTGTATATTTGGACCTTGTGCATATGGTTTTCTTGGATAACAAATATGGAATCCAGAACCATTTTCCCACATGCATTGGCATAGGAACTATATCACAAACCAAATTTTCTTCAGCATTGACCATTTTTCCCAAGGTTTCCAGTTTCAATCTTAGTATATCATCTTCCCAAGAATATTTGACAAGCTTACTCCATCCTTTATAATCTGTTCTTAACCAATAATGTAATTTTGTTAATTCTAGGAAGGCTTCTGAGTTTCCTCCCATTATTAACACCAACATTTTTCTCTCCAATCTCTCAAATTTATTTCCATAGTCAAACAA